ATGCAGTGAGAATGTATTGCATATGTTACATGAATCTAATTCAGAACTCTTTTTATATAGTAAATGTTTGTGGAATCTACAAATTTGAACGTGAAAGGTACTTATGTCCACAGAGTCAATCACTAGCAAAAGTAATTGAATATTTGAATGGTAAAATCAAAGACCTTTGTGGTTGTTCCATAGCTGATGACAACATAGCGCTATGTCAACTTATTGATCGAACTACTACTTATAGGTTTAACCCAAGATTTTATTGCATATTAAATTAACAATAAATATTAATCTCATATTAATAATATTTTTTAAAAATTTTTGTAAAATTGTTCTTAACAAACAAGTGTGAGAATGATTTTTTCAATTACGATTAAAATGACATGCTCATTTTTTGTTTTAGTGAAAATTGGTATAATGACGTATTTTAATACTTATTTTACAAAAAATAAAATTGAATACTCCATTTGAATTAACTTTTATGTGCACTTCATTTAATAAAAACTCACAGTTTCTAACTTCTGACCAATACTTCTGACAATAAAATCACTTTAGTTTACAGGTAAAAAAAAAGATTTCCAAAAACGATATCTATTGTTTCTATAATGAAATTTTCCCTAATATTCAAAAATTATTACGATGTTTTTATTTAAATATACCGTTTTTCCGTTATTTGTGAAAAACCATTATTTCATTTATTCTGTACATATGCCCTTTACATATGCCACATTGTATAAATTTAAAACAAAAAATACATAAAATTGGGCATTGTTTGAATCTAATATACAAAAATGAAATATCACATTTACAATACACATAATTTTACAAAATAAACTCGTAACAAAAGATTTTTCTATTAAAGTTGATTAGTTCATTTCAAACCCTATTTTAGGCAAACATTATATAAATTTTGAAACTATTATTTAATTTTTATGATTGGGTATTAAACTGCACACTTTTTCTTTGTGCTCTAAACTCCAGCTCTTGGAACTTTGTCTTTGTCTTGGAACACGTCCTCATAACCATATCATGGTTACAAAGCTATACCCTCAGTACATTGTTCAGTGACAATACCTGGGCAACAGTGATGGCTGGCAACTGGAAATTAGCACCGTAGATATTATTTTTAATGGACATTTTAAATATCCGAAACTTTAAAAAACGGGCAACAAGAAAGTTTTTGAACTGGATATTTTACAGTATTATAGATAAAGTATTTAAATAACCTTGACAACATGTGTCGTAATATATTCTTACTAGTTTCAGCTTTCATTTTACATACTTCCAGCTCAAAAAGTACCGGGATGTTGTAAATAAAACATACAAATTCAAATTTTATTCCAAATTTATTTCATCTCCTTCAAAATATGCTCCTTCTGAAGCGATACACATATGCCAACGCTTAACCCAATCTTCCATACACTTTTTGTAGACCCGTGCAGGTATGGCTTTTAGTTCCTTCTGCGAATTCTTTTTTACCGATTCAATCGACTCAAAACACTTACCACGATGGGGCAATTTGAGTTTCGGGAACAGGAAAAAGTCACACGACGCCAGATCTGGCGAATATGGTGCCTGAGCGATGACAGTGGTGCCGTGTTTGGTCAAAAAATCGCGAACAATACAACAATCGCACTTGAGGTAGTCTCACATTAACAGCTGCTCTAAACAAACTAATTGACAGATGGCGCTCAAATTTGTACCATATACCAAGTAAGGGTGTACCAACATAACAAAAAAAAATTTTTTGAAAAAGGTCTATGAACTACTCCTTAAGTAGTTAACAAACAACAAAATCTGGAGCAGAAGGTATAATACTGTACTCCTTGAAAACACCAAAAGAGATTCTAGTGGTACATGTTAAGAGGTATTGCGAAAATAAACAATAATCGTTTTTTCAGAAGAAAATAAATCGTTATAATAGGTACCGTTTTTGAAAAAAAAATATTTTCAATCATTTGTAAATTAATCTTATCCTTACAGGCATAAAAATCGGAAACTCTCAAAATAAAAAAACATATCATCAAAGAAAAAATAATTTTTTTGTTGAAACCTTGGTAATGACAATAACCAATATTTTTCTAGAAATGGTTTCCCTAACTAAGTACCCATCCATTTTTTTTACATTAAGTATTGTAAATTTTTTTGCTTTCATATGTAACTTTATTTTATTTTATAGAAAATTTACAACTTTTTTAAAAAGAGTTTTTATGTTTTCACACAAATTCTTTTATTTGAACATACATATGCATATTAAAAAAATATGTATTTATTTATTTCGGTTGAAAGAGGATGGTAAGGACTCAACTTTATTGTATAAAAACATTTACAGAACAAAAGCTGGAAAGTTTTGCAAAATTACTGCAAAGATAAAACTCAGTTTGTGCACTCACAAATACTGGCAATAAAAAATTTTAATGTTTTATGGAACAAAATTCATAACTTTACTTTACTATAGTACTTATTTCTTGTTTAAAAATATGTGAATTTTTAATATTAGGCAATATTGTATTGTTTTATGTAAGAACGTTTTTCGCAAAAAAGTGAAATATAGTTTTTAAAGGAACTTAATTGTAATATAAAATAATTTTGAATACAAAATAATTATTTATTCTTCGAGTAATTATTTGCGCACTACTAAGTTACGACCAGAAAAACCAGAAAAACACAATAAAATATAAGTTTGTCTTAAAACGAAGACTTGCATAGACATACAAGATCTACTTCCCACTTATAGTTTTCAAATCAAGTCTGATATTTTACAACACATAAAAAAGGTCTTCGTTTACATCTTCAATCTTTAAGTTTCAGACAGGTACCTAACACATTATTGAAAATGAATCGGTTAAACGTTACAAAAATATTTATATTTATATACATATATAATGATATAATGGCGGGTAATATTTAATTCCTAAACCAGTTTGGACTATAACATAAGATAATAAAATATTTGGAGAGGATCATAAAATATAATTATAAATAATTCATGGTCAATATAAAGCCAATATGAAATTGTTGGATATTGATCTAACGTGTAAATTATTTTTTTTATTATCAATGCAAAATTTACAACTTGAGATGTTAATTTAAAGTGTTGCTTTTGTTAGCAGAAATATTGGCCTAAATATATATATAAATACTTATGTATGATACATAGAATTATATTATAGTAAAAAGCTATATTAGTTATTTTTGAGTCACAGATTTCTAGTCTACGATCTCTTGACAAATGCTAAATACTAGAAATAAACTTTTTTCTTTTATTATGCAAAAAAATATCCCAAAATCAGAAAAAAAACATTAGTGTAATATTCATTGGAGGCACTATGCTCCAGAAGGAGTTCACGAAATCAGTCAGAGTAGTAGTAATTTTTCTTACGGGTGAGCATAACGTTTTCAAAATTTAATTCTTAGAATATGTATGAAACTATTACTTTTTTAATTATTTTGTTTTAAAAAACCAACGATAGAATATTTATACATTAATATTCACAAAGCTCTAACTAAACTAGATAGGACTTTTTAAAAATAATTATTTGCAGTAAAACCAAATACTAACAATCACATACATCGATAAGATATATTTTTCACTAAAGTGGTAAAGTGGTAAGTAGTTAGTGGTAAAATTTTTTAACATTTGGACATACAGGAGCTAAATTATTGAAACTGAAGTGATATTGAATTAGAATATCTGTACACAGACAAGTTTTTTAACAGACAAATCTCTTATTTCGAGAAAGGACATCCTTTTCAACGACAAATTCTGATAGGCAGTTCAATTTTCAGTCGAAAAAAAAGCGATCGTAGCGAGAGCCATTTTTGGACGTAGTAGGAAGTAAACCAAGCACAGATAATTTTTGAAAGTGTAAATAAGAAATATTTAATTTTAATTCTAATTAGAATACTTTGACTGATCTTTGAACTCGAACGAAATCTAACAAAATCTATGGTGGTTAGGGATTTTATAAAGTCAACACGTTATTTATCATTGAGGTGGTCCCAAGAAAAATTTTTAAATAAAACTTACACTTTATGTATTTTACTATAAAGTAAACAATTATCATTTTAAAAATGATTCATTAATGGCATAGTTTCGGTTAAAGTTTTATTAAACAAAACATGATAATAATTTTATTTTTTTTGTGGCGATAATGCATGTTTACATACTGTCATTTTAAACCAAACAATGAATTGACCAATTTTAAAAGGATATTAGTGAGCGATCTACTTTACCGATGCTTTTTACTTCGAACTGCATCTTTCTAATACACACTAATAAGTTTTGTGTATTTTTAATTTCATTTTGAGTTAATATAATAATAATATTAATAAATCAAAATATTTTTTGAAGTCATACCTGTTTTAGGTTTCAATAGATGGACTTCTTGCAAACACAATAAAAAACACTTTTCAACACTTAAAAATAAAACAAAAAATAAATAAAAAATATATTTTTTGACTACATGACATATAATTTTCGTTGTTTTTATTTAGTTAATCAAAAAATGTAAAACCTTCTACGTAAGCAAACGCAAGAGTTTAAGTGATACATACTTCGAACAACCTCACTAATAAAACTTTATTATAAATATATTAAAAAAATAAAAAATTCTTTCCTTATACTTAAACTTAGTTTTTAGAATTTAATATATATAATTTGACACACTTTGTAGATTAAGAAAGTCACTTTGTTTTTGTTTTGTTATATTTTTTGTTGTTTTTGTTTTTATTTAATTAACAGTAAAAAATTTTAAAAAGCACTACATAAGCGAAAATAGGGGTTTCATTGATACTGATGATTAATAAAATTTTATTTTGAAAAAAACAATTGTTTATTTATAATTAGCATTACTTTTATATATTCTTTTAAGATAACATAAAAATTAGCTATAAATATTACTTACTTGCCGATGCACATTCGTACAAAAACAATTCCTTAAGTACGCACAATTCTATATATATATGTATGTATGTAATAAGCACCCGCAAATGAAGAAAAGTTACTATAGATGAATGTACATATATATTTATAATTCATTTGGAACACTAAACACACAGTAATTTACCAACTTTTAAGAAATCATAATATTGACAAAGCTAAATCCAATATCTGATATATTCAAAAACTGAAACAAAAAATATTTTTTTATTCTAAGCACATCAAATTTTAATTTAAAAATTAAGAAAACAAAAGCATACTATTATTTTTTAAGACGGATTGATAGAAACTAAGTGAAATATTGTGTAGTTTGTCAAAAACCACTATCACTTACCGTTGCAGGGGATTAAGCGTATTTAAACTTGACTTATGCACGCTCTCTCAATTCACCATATATTATGCAGCTTAAACAAAAATAAGAAAACTTGAAAATAAAAATTAAAAATGCTTTTCGATTGTTTGTTACCAGAATGTTCTTTGCTTAAATATGTGAAAATTTTATAAGCAAATTTTATTTCAATATATCTGTAACCAAAATATATATGTATGCATATATATTATGAATTGCGTTTAAAATTTAACAAATAAATAGTCATTTTGCGTAATATTAATGAACAAATATGTTCTTTGGTGGAATACCTGTTTCAAGTTTCAATTTAAGATGCGTTGTTTTTGAATATTATAAAAAACTTATAATAAAATATAAAAAAAAATGTCAGCTTTTAGTTATAAAATTTTATAAAATAAATGTGACATACAAAATTTAACAAAGCATACTTTGTAGATTAAGAAATACAATGTGGTGCAATTTTTGTGTTTTTATATGTAATTAAAAAAATAAACTTAAAGCACACCGCATAAGTAAGAAAAGGGGTTTAAGTGATACTTACTTTGAACAACAACAATGTAGAAAACTATTCAAAAATTAACTTGTTAGTACCACTGGATTATGCGTATATTGTACTTTGAAAATATTCACAAAAAAAATTTTTTTTAACACCTAAAACTAAACAAAACAAAGGTTTTAATTTTTTTTGGTTAAAAATTTATTTTATATGAAAATAATGCACAATATATATATATATATATTGTGCATTATATATATATGCATTATATATTGTGCATATATATATATTGTACATTAATTAAATATAGAAAAACATTTCGTGTCTAAGAGATATAAAATGTGAAGTTTTTATGCTGAATGTTAAGTAGCATAATATGCCAAATTTCCACATGGGTATTACATGGAAATAAAGTGTCGTTGCAAGGAAAACAACAATTATATGAAGTTGATTTTAATAACTGCTGCTCTGGAAATGAGAAAGTGGTTTGCATTAAAGCAGCTTCAGAGACAGATTTATTGACATTAAGAATTCCCTGCAATTACTAGTGGCAAAATACGATATTAATATTAAGAGCAGAAATACGTTCTTATTTCTTTATATTATGTGAAAGATCGTAAGATCATATATTTTGACAATTCAAATATCATAATCATAAAAAATGTTTTGTTATTAAGTTTGTAAACTTGTATATGATTTGTTATTGTTCGATGATGAAGGAAAGTATTTAATATATTTATTGCTTTGAAAACAAATATTTATTGCTTTAAGCGAAGCAAAAGCAAGAAATTTATGGTGTTCTTGCATTTTAACTTATATGAAAAAGACAGTTTTAAATTATATCGGAATTGTTGCTACTTTTTATTATTGTAAAAATGAAAATAAGAAATTGGTATAAGTATATTATATAAATTGAATTGCATTAAAAAATAAAATAAACTATATATTTAGTGTATATTTAATTGTAAAGTGCTAAGTTTACTAAATATAGGTATATATGAAACACTTTTTTGTTAAGAAGTATTGAACTTATTACATAAAATTTTTTAGACATTT